AGGTGATCATTTTTTAATGTATTTTAAATCCATATTTGTATCTAAATATTATTCTGAATACAATATTAAAAGTTTAGCTCAAAAGAAAACCTGAATTATATAACTCAATTTTTTAAACCTGATTTTCAAAATTTGTAAAAATATAAGCAAAAATAATTGAGGTAAGTAAATATCAATGGTGTGGGTAAGGTGCTTGTGTCCTGAAGGCTGGGGTACATTGCTATATGATCAGAAAGATGATGTCATCATTGGATCCAAAATAAAAAGCTTTAAAAAAACAACAGCTTACTAGTAGTTAGATGTGATAGAATAATTTATAGTTATTCAATTCTTAGAATTGGGCTTAACTTATAAGTAGACATGATATATTAGCATAACACAAAATTCTTTCCAACTATATAGTTGAAAATCACAGTAAAGACTAATCTCTCTTGTTGCTTACATGGCAAACTCTTTTCACATTCATCACAACTCCTACTACCCAAATGTGCCAATATGCTCTCCAAAATTTACTCTGAGAAATGTATAAGATATTGAAAATAAATATAATTACATTAAGAAATTTTTCAAAATATGTTCATAATGCAACAGGGATTTTTATTTTCCTAGCATATAAATAGATAACTTTATTAAAATATTTGAAAAACACACAGGGGTATGAGCATATATTTCCAAACTGGCTTTTATTATGTTCACACGTGACTGAAACAAGACTGACATCAAAATTCAATCAATTTTAAAAGACCAAATGAAAACTAATGATAGACAAGCAGGGATTAATAATAATATTTGAAGAAATAAATGACAACTTCAAAACTCTTGAGAAAATACAAAAAGGATACTGAAATTTGAAGATTAACACTTTTTTATGAAATATAAGTGTAAACCATGCTAACAAAAGGATGCGCCTGCTTAGAACTTCAGTGGTATCACCTCTAGTAACAACTGGAGACCCCGTGAATGTTCAGAATCAAGTTCAGGTACTAATTGAAAGGAAAATTAATAAAGTCAATAAGCCCATTTAAAAAGGAAATCTGTAGAACATGAAAAAAAGTTAAAAAACAAAAGGCTTTCTATTAATATGTCAAATTAATAAAAAGAACCAGACTTTTCTTATAGTCATACTGTAAGAACTTCACTCCAGCATTTTGGTTAGTCATTTTCAATTATGTTAATGAAAAAGTTATTTTCAGTATTTCAAATTATGGAGTATTTATAGATAGCATATATGCAATGTTGAAGCATTTCTTCATGTAGTTTATGGATTCCAAAAACTTCTCTACATTTTAATGCACTCTTGGTAAGGTGTAACATGCTACTCAACTATATTTATTCATTATCTATCCTGTTTTAATAACACTGTGATACCTAAGAAATTATTATTTGGTCTTTCAATAAATTAAGGCTGTGTGCACACAAAGGGAGATGAAAGAGGTTAAATTGGTATTGATTACTTAAGACACATTCAACAATTACTTTGGAAACTTCCTCATCACAAAGTCCTGCTGAGAAACTCATTTCCCAATAATTTCTCCATGTGCATTTTACATTTTACAGTAACATTAGTTTCAAGTCTCCTGATAAATCTGTTGCAGGATACAAGTGGTTTATTAGACAAACTTAAACTTTCTTTAAAAATTTTTCTTTTAATAGTTTTCATTATAATTAAAGTCATTGGGGAATCTATTTCCTAGCTTAAGCAAAAGATTGTGGTTTTAGCTATCTTCCGAAGGAAATTTTATTAATGGATATTTGTAGTACTCTGACATTTGTATCATTGAAACATGATTAATAATAATCCATAAATTATAATTTGTGAACAATGTTGATAGCATTAGGAGGAAGTAAGAGAGTATAAGAATCATCAATAATGTACAAGATTCTACAAGATTTTTCATTATCTTTTTCTGACATTGTAAATTTTAAATAATCACAATATATATATGATTATATGTTTTATTTGTGAAAAAGATAAAAAAGTAAGACTATATTTCCTGAGAAAAACCTGACCAAATTATAAATCACTGTATAAGGGATTCTTTTTACATATACAAATTTGAAAACTTATTTATAAATATCTACATATAGCATAGAAAATATCTCAACATGGAAAAGATTATACCATTGATGAATCATATATTCTAAATAGTCACAAAACTTATCACATTTAAAATGCCATATTTCAAATTTATTTCTTTAAAATATTTTCCTCTCCATGGGCCACCTTGGCACAGGTGTTAAGGTCTCAGCACTCTCAAGCTATCTCCAGCCACTGTGCCATTAATTCTGTCCCTGGCCAGGGAGGGGCGCAGCAGACCTCTCCTGTCTCTCCCACTGCTCCCATCAGCAGTGTGTTTCAGTAGACTCGTTTGTTCTGCTCCCCATTCAGTCTCTGTTGTATCAGCTCCCCCCTCACCTCCAGACATCTGAAACTACACCCCAGTTTTTGTACACATAAATAAATAAAATAAACCTTAAAAAAAAATTCCCTCTCCAGTTTTTTTCCATACAAAAACTGAAGTTTATTACTACAGCTACATCTAGCTACTGGCATAATTTTTCTTATGCTATCTTTGGTAATTAATTTCCTGATTTTTATTTCCTAGAATTGATCAAATTGAGTATTTCCTAGAATTGATCACTCAGAAATATGACTCATGAATTCATCAGAACAGATTATTATACTATGTTAAGGACTACCTAAATAATAACCTAAATACCTAAATAATAACGGATATTTGTATCAGGGGATCCTTTAAGGAAATACTATCAAGAAACTTTTGTTCTTTACTTTTATTCCAGCAAAATACATTAAAATGTTTACTAAAACATATGAAATGTAAGGAAAATGGTGATTTAATAAGAATTAACTATTTTCATGGCTTTATTTTATTTACACATTTAGATAACTAAATAGCATTAAATAAAAAATGAAGAAATAAGAAAATATCTATAAGGATATAGATAAATACATAAGATATAGTTAAATACATAAGTTCACCAGTAGATACAGCTTTATCTTCCCATAGGTACTATTCATTTCTTAGCAACTATTTCTCACAATCACAAATAGCGTTACATATCTCTTATGTTTTATAATTAAATCATCTGGAGATTTAGAATATTAGAGTCTCAAGCATAATTTTCTCAAATTGAATCAAAGGGACTCCTTTAACCCAAATATATACTTTCCATTTGTTTTAAGAATACATGACTTTGAATAAAAAATTAGATCAGATAACTTCATTTTTCTGCAAGCCATTAAGCATACTTGAAAACTGAACACATTGAAGTAGGTCTATAATTTAAATTGTGGGCCTCTCTGGTGGTGCAAAGGTTAAAGTCTCAGTTCTATCAAACTATTACCAGGCACTACTGCATGAGTTCTATCCCTGGCAAGGGAACTAACACACATGGCACAGCAGACCTCTCCTGTCTCACTTGTTGCTCCCCTTAGCAGTGTATTTCAGTAGACCTGCCTGTTCTGTCTCTGGTGAATCCTCTCATCCCCCACACCTCTGGCCTAGACCCCAGTTCTTGTATGCATAAATAAATAAAATATACCTTTAAAAAATAGTTTAACTTGTAGTTCCTGTAGTGTATTATTCTATTACATTGGAATAAAAACTGTGGGAACTACAGATTTATTACACTTATTAGACAACTCTATCTTACAGATTTAAAAATATGTAAGTTATTATATGTGAAGATACACACTGGTTCTATAGCCCATATGCTAATAATATGTATTCCAAATTTTCTAAAAGAAAACATTTTCCAAAAGAGATAAATGTTGAATTACTTGTAAAACCTTCATGGAACTAAGTAAAATTTATTTCTTCTTTAAAATAAGAAACATTAACATCATTTTAATGATATATTTTACTGGTATATCAGAAGTATTGTAGTCACAATATTGATATTTAGACTATCTAGGTGTTTAGGTTAAATATATATTAAATGTAAAAGAAAAATTCAAAACAACAGCATGATATTTAATGTTATGTTACATTAAAATAATATTTATGAATATTCAAAAACAATTTGTGTTGTAATTCAAAATATGTTTTATTTCCTAATGAAAAGAAATAGCTTTAAATAAGCATATTAATATGCTTTGTAAGCAACACAAAGATTCATTTTTATATTATTAAACTCATTAAAACAGATAAACATAAATTTTAATGTTATTTACCTTCATGGATCAACCAAAAATATATCTGCTTATCAGTATAGTGCAAAAATAGTATTGACTGCTTTTCAATAGAAGAAACAGTTCTCACTAATATTAGATGGAAGTAAAATAAGATATTCCCTTGTTTTTTTCAGAAAAGGAAGTTTAAAGTCATGAGCTTAGGCAAAAGGAAAATATATAGCTGCATTTAATCAAATTTGAATCCAAGTTATCCAAAATCATCAGTGTTACTGAAGCAGTCTTGTATTAAAACATGTTTTACAATCTTATTTTGACAGTTGAAGTATTTTATACTCAGAAAAAATGATAACTTTCAATTAAATTACTTTCTGCTGCCTGCACTAAAGCCTAAGAGCTAAAATATTATTGAAAATTTCTCTGCAAAGATGTTATTCCTTTTATGTGCCAGAATTTTAAAATGATGTGCTTGGTCTTTGGTGACTGCAAACATAATAACTTTATTAAACTGTTGATAAATAAATTAGTACTTTCTTAAAAATAAATTGTCCCAGTATTCTAATTTGTACCTTCCACATGTCTGCAAATTAACTAATTCAAAAGAGTGAATTAGAGATGTTGGTTTAGAAACAAATTAATAAGATATTGGTATGCTAGTCACCACCTGTAATTATCTTTTTTTGCTGTTCCAGGAGGTATTTGGGTATTATTTAAGAGCAAAAGATGAATTGTGTGCCATTAAATCCTATTAAGTCAGTGCAGGGACACAGCAAAAGCAGAGGTAAATAAGCTGTGGAGGTCTGAATGTCAATAAAGAAGATAAAAATGGTTTTATATAGCTACTTACATCATAGCCTAGAAGTTCAGTCTGTGTAGATTTATCTACTCTTGAAGCAAAAGCCTTCTGCAAATGCTGAACTTTTTCCTGCAAGATGAAAAAATATCATATTGTTGGTGAATCATATGCTTACACACTAATTCCCCACATACTAAAATTTGATTGATTTATAATCCATGTTTGTTTCTGTGTGTACACTTTGTGTGTGCATTGTATATCAGCTTAAATATTCAGAGCTTTATTTTTCAGGTCTTAATGACCCCACTTTTTACATCTTTTTTTTTTTTAATACAAGAATCACTAAGCCCAAAATTGAATTATAAAGATGTGCGATTTGCTTAAATCCAAGACCAACATCAATTACATAGACTGTTTCTTGCTAGCTGTTCTACGTAAACTTAAATTGATAGGATTTTATTGATCTAGAATCAGAGCATTTACATTTTAATCCAAAAGATTTTCTATAAATAATACTACTCCAGTGGATTCCATTTAGTTTTTTGTTTGTTTGTTTGTTTGTTTTTTCTTCTTGTTTCTTTCCTCTGGGAAATACACATTACGAATCTGTAGTTCAAGGAATTTGATGTTCATCCATCACTGTTATAAAAAATGGCATGATGGAGGTTTGAGATTTCATACCTCAATAGAAAATGTACTAATTATAGTTTTGTAGACTGCTTGGGATTCTGACTACCTTTCATTCCTAAATGTGCCCATTATATAAAAGTGGAAGCTTGAGTTTAATTATTATGTTAACATGTGTTCTAAGTATCTGGCATAGCCGTGAGCACTGAAATCACATTATCACATTCCATCTTGAGATTTTTATAGTCATTAGTACCAATTTTCTTTTTTTTTAATTAATTAATTTATTTATACAAGCACTGAGTATAGTCAGAAGCGCGGGAGGTTGAGAGAATACACCAGAGCCAGAGTAGGGAACAGAACAGGGAGAAGGACTGAAGTACACTGCTGAGGGGAGCAGCGGGCTGCAGGAGTGTTCTGCACGCCATATAGGACCCTCGCCAGGGAGCCGGGAATCTAAGTGACGCTGCAGAGGCTGTGGGCAGCTTCGCAACCCAGCACTCAACTGCTGCGCCACCGGGGAGGCCCCAATAGTACCCATTTTCAGTGAGAACAGTACTGTTTAAAAAGTGTTATGAAACTTGAAGAAAGTTTCAGGAAAGTTTATATGATTCCACTGGACTGTTTTTGCTTTAACTTGCTTTAAAGGAGATTTTTTTTTTTTTCCTTTTCCTTTTTTTTTTTTTTCAGAATGTTTAAAAAATAATTTTATAGTATCTTAATGATAAAAGTTATGATTTAATTCATCATTTTCCCGGAAGGAATAGTGGTCCTCACAAACCTCTCTACCAAGAACTGCAATTACACAAAACGCATCCTCTCATAATATCTCTTTTCTTTCTCCTTACCACAAACCTTACTTTTATCCTCAGTTCTCTCTCATATCTCCAAGTTATATGAGTAAGTTAACCCAAACTATTCAGATTGTTTATGTAAACTATTTATTTTCGACTTGCTGAAATATAGAAGAGAAACTATTTGTGTGCTATTAATATCTCATACCTTCTAGTTTCCCTGTCATAAAACTTTTAGTGCTGCTACTCAGACAGAAGTTAAATGGAGATTAGATAATTGAGGCCAATGTAATGGGAATGAAGTAAGATTTTTATTCTTTAACAAACGTAAGTGAAAATGTGGCTACATATTGCAAACTAAATTTAAAGTGAAAAGTTGCAAGTTGTGTTTATTTGTATTTGCATTGGGGTGAGGGAAAAAAAAGAAATAGTAATACATAAAGGAACCAACAATATTTGCCATCATCAAGGAGTTATTTAGAAAAATTTAACTTAAATATTCAAAAACAAAGTTTTGTTAACCTAAGCACCCAAAGACAATGGAGTACATAAAAAAAAAAATTGGTATACACATACACACACAGACACACACAGACACACACACACACAGGAATATGAGTCACAGGAATATATATACAAAAAAGCTGAAATCTTGCCTTTTGAGACAACATGGATGGAAGTTGAGAGGATAATGCTAAGTGAAATAAGTCAGAAGCGAAAGACAATTAAATACTGGATGGTTTCACTCATGTGTTTAACACAGAGACCCAAAACAAAGGGTCAGACAAAGCAAAACCAATAAAAAATCCTTGACACCTGAATGCAAAAGCTGAACCATTCATAAGGAGGATGGCAGGATGCGAGTGGGTGAGGGAAGGGGCCCAAGGGAGCATGGCACATTACTAACTGTGATGATGGGCATGGGGTGAAAACATACATTTGCAGAGTTTTAAACCTATAACCCTTAAAACAAATACAATGATATATACCAACTTTATTTTAATAAACGTCATTGTAAAGGGTGCCTCCCTCGTGGCACAAGGAGTTAAGTCCCAGCACTACTATGAAGCCATCGGCAGCCACTTCAACACACATTTGACCCATGGCCAGGGAGCTGACCCACATATGGAGCAGCAGACCTCTCCTGGCTGGCCTGCTGCTCCCCTCAGCAGTGAATTTCAGTCAATCTTCCTGTTCTGCTCCCCACTCTGTCTCTAGTGAATCACCGCCCTCACTGCACCTCTGTCCTACACCCCAGCTCTTGTATGCATAAATAAATAAAATAAATCGTTAAAAAACGTAATTGTGGGGCCTCCCCGGTGGCGCAGCGGTTGAGCGCTGGGTTGCGAAGCTGCCCGCAGCCTCTGCGGTGCCGGTTCAATCCCCGGCTGCTCCCGGGCCACCGGAGGAGGGTCCCACATGGCGCGCAGACCTCTCCTGCCGCCAGCTGCTCCCCTCAGCAGTGTACTTCGGTCCTTCTGCCTGCTCTGCTCCCCGCTCTGGCTCTGGTGAATTCTCTCACCCTCCCGCGCTTCTGACTGTACCCAGTGCATGTATAAACAAAAACAAAACAAACGAATAAATAAATAAATAAAACATGCCTCTATTAAAAAAAAAAAAAAAAACGTAATTGTGAAAAAATAAGTTTCGAAATAAATCTTTAGAAATGTAAACATATTTATATGAATTAGAGACTATATAATAATTCATAGTGTGAGGAAGAAAAGATAGCAAATGCTTCCACTATGCTTCAGTTCTCATTGATATTTCAAGGACATCATTCTGAGGCTAGGAGCTGGAAAAATTGGTTCATTCTGACTCATTGATCTGAGTTAAAACACAGGCAATCCAAATCAAGATAAATGAAAAATTAAAACATCCCTGTTCATATTTTACACAGTAAAGAATTTATCCCTCAGGTGTGGTCCCCAAAGATCATCCACCACCAAATCACCAAATCCTTCTCCATAGTCCACTGTGGTCACCCTTCTTTTTTCCTTCTCTCCCTTCTCCTCCCCTACCACTTCCCCCTCTTCTTCTGGTCACCTCAAATCTGTGGTCAGCTTTCAAGAGTTACTTTTAAAATTAGTCTTTGTCTGAATTGTTGTTTGATTTCTCTATATTACACATATAAGTGAAACCATTCAGTATTTATCTTTCTCCTTCTGGTTTGCTCACTAAGGACAATCTCTTCCAGTTCCATCCATGTTCCTGCAAATGACAAGAGTGTGTCTTATTTGATTCTGAGTAGTATTCTGGTGTGTATATATATATATACCACATCTTCTTGATCCATTCATCTGTCCCGGGGCATTCAGTTTGTTTCCATATCTTGGCTATTGTAAATAGTGCTACTGTAAACATGGGAGTCCATAGTTCCCTTAGAAATATTATTTTTGTGTTCTTTGTGTATATACCTAGGAGTGTGATTGCTTGGGCATCTGAATAAGGATGTAAAATAGCAGTAGCTTAATAAAAAATACATATAAAATAAAATATTAGTATAATCAATAATACTGTATTGCATATTTCTAAGTTGCTATAATCTTTAAAGTTGTCATCCTAAGAAAAAAATTTAACTTTGTGTGAAGATGGATATTAGTTTTATCTTGATGATCATTAAATAGGTTACATATCAATTATAGCTCAATTGTAAAAATAAAATAAATTATTAGTAAAGGAAAAGAAAAGAAAAATTCAAACAACTTCATTAACTAGTAGCCTACTTATGAGAAACACAGCATCCTTAATCACGAATTTTTATCTTGGGGCCTCCCTGGTGGTGCAGCAGTTGAGCGCTGGGTTGCGAAGCTGCCCGCGGCCTCTGAGGAGGGTCCCACATGGCACGCAGACCTCTCCTGCCGCCCACTGCTCCCCTCAGCAGTGTGCTTCAGTCCTTCTGCCTGCTCTGCTCCCTGCTCTGCCTCTGGTGAATTCTCTCACCCTCCCACGCTTCTGACTGTACCCAGTGCATGTATAAAGAAAACAAACAAACAAACAAATAAATAAATAAATAAATAAAACATGCCTCTATTAAAAAAATAAATAAATAAATAAAATTTTTATCTTCAGAATTTTTTTTTAAAAACACCCAAAATCTTTTGTAATAAAATTCAGTGTTATACTTTGCTGGCATTTTCAAAACAAAAAATATGACATATTTGAATTATTTATTGTGTATGCACATGCATATCTATAATCCTACATGGAGAACATTTTAAAATTTCCAAATACACTTAGATGCAAACTGTTAAAAATTGAATATTCTATTTTGTGTAACAGTAGAGCCACTTGAAAGAGTCAGGTGAGTAATAGATATGTGGCAGGATGCTCTCCAGGTCCTTGGTGGAGACAATGACAGTCAGTATCTTGATTTGTATTTTGATGTTACTCCTTTTGTCCAGAATTGTATTTTCCTTTTCTTTTTATTCTCTACCAGACGATAGTTTAGAGTTCTGGCAAGTTCTTCAGCCTCAACAGCCTGTTTCAGGCTGACTCTGGTAGACTAGGCATTTGACTAGTGAATGGGTAATTTGGTGTATTTTATTGGGAAACTATTATTAGAAATATCCTTTCTTTTTTCCTCTCTCTATGTTCACTACTTTCATATTTTTATGATTTATTTTATTTATTTATGCATACAAAAGCAGGGGTGTAGCCAGATGGGTGGGGGTGACAGGATTCACCAGAGACAGAGTGGGGAGCAGA